CACCCACCTACACTCTGTAACTGCTGGGACTCTGTTACATAGTTAGATAAGCAGACTGCTAGCTTGTAGGTGGAGTCCCCTACTACAGTAGCATATATCAAAATTAAAGTCACTGATTTGGATTGAGTGACTTCTGATTTACATCATCTGTTAGGAGCAGAATATGTTTCTATGTATCAGTAAAACATACTTAGAGGAGGACTGAACATGTACATATCTGTATGAGATATGCATATCCTTGGTCCATGGTCCTTTCCTAGGATCTTCTGAGCATATACCACATTTACTTATACACCACACACATCTTTCCTTCTGAAAGTAGCCTTCCAAAATATCCTTCCAGATTAGCAGCAGTGGAACTTCTTTTCAAGCATTGCTAAGGAAGTTGATTGTTTTCATGGTTCATTAGATCCCCCTCTCCTTTTTATTGGTCATAATGTTCCATTCATAGATTCATAGATTCATAGATGTTAGGGTCGGAAGGGACCTCAATAGATCATCGAGTCCGACCCCCTGCATAGGCAGGAAAGAGGGCTGGGTCTAGATGACCCCAGCTAGATGGTTATCTAACCTCCTCTTGAAGACCCCCAGGGTGGGGGAGAGCACCACCTCCCTTGGGAGCCCGTTCCAGACCTTGGCCACTCGAACTGTGAAGAAGTTCTTCCTAATGTCCAATCTAAATCTGCTCTCTGCTAGCTTGTGGCCATTATTTCTTGTAACCCCCGGGGGCGCCTTGGTGAATAAATCCTCACCAATTCCCTTCTGTGCCCCCGTGATGAACTTATAGGCAGCCACAAGGTCGCCTCTCAACCTTCTCTTGCGGAGGCTGAAAAGGTCCAGTTTCTCTAGTCTCTCCTCATAGGGCTTGGTCTGCAGGCCCTTAACCATACGAGTGGCCCTTCTCTGGACCCTCTCCAGGTTATCCGCATCCCTCTTGAATTGCGGCGCCCAGAATTGCATGCAGTACTCCAACTGCGGTCTGACCAGCGCCCGATAGAGGGGAAGTATCACCTCCTTGGACCTATTCGTCATGCATCTGCTGATGCACGATAAAGTGCCATTGGCTTTTCTGATGGCTTCGTCACACTGCCGACTCATGTTCATCTTAGAGTCCACTAGGACTCCAAGATCCCTTTCCACTTCCGTGCCACCCAGCAGGTCATTCCCTAGGCTGTAGAACATTCCCTAGGCTGTCCTCCCTAGGTGCAGCACTTTGCATTTCGCCTTGTTGAATTGCATTCTGTTGTTTTCTGCCCACTTGTCCAACCTGTCCAGGTCTGCTTGCAGCTGTTCCCTGCCCTCCGGCGTGTCCACTTCTCCCCACAGTTTTGTGTCATCCGCAGACTTGGACAGAGTACACTTCACTCCCTCGTCCAAGTCACTGATGAAGACATTAAAGAGTATCGGTCCACTCACCGGACTGTGTAGTCATCCAAGTCACAGCCTCTTAACTTGTTCACCAGTATGGGGTGGGATACCGTATCGAAGGCCTTCCTGAAGTCTAAGTATACGACATCCACCCCTCCTCCTGTGTCCAGGTGTTTCGTAACCTGGTCATAAAAAGAGACTAGATTGGTCAGGCACGATCTGCCTGCCACGAACCCGTGCTGGTTTCCCCTCAGCATAATTTGTCCTGCCGGGCTCTCGCATATGTGAGCCTTGATAATTTTTTCAAAGACTTTGCCAAGGATGGAGGTGAGACTGAGCGGCCTATAGTTGCCTGGGTCCTCCTTCCTCCCCTTCTTGAAAATGGGGACCACATTGGCCCTTTTCCAGTCCTCCAGGACTTGGCCCGTGCGCCACGAGCGTTCAAATATTCCCGCCAGTGGCTCTGCAATGACGTCAGCCAGTGCCTTCAGCACCCTCGGATGGAGCTCATCCGGGCCTGCCGACTTAAAGGCATCCAGTTCTTCCAAGTGACTCTGCACCATCTCAGGGTCTACACATGGAAGTCTGGTGCCTTGCTGCTGCCTCTCTACAACCCCAGTGAGAGACTTGTCGTGCCCCTCGCTTAGGAGCACTGAGGCAAAGAACTCGTTGAGGAGATCAGCCTTGTCCCCCCTGTCCGTCACCAATTGTTTCTGCCCATTTAGCAGGGGTCCTATTCCTCCCTGGGCCTTCCTTTTACTCCCTATATATCTAAAAAACAATCAAGCTATCCTTCTTTTGCTGAATAATTTACAATTTAGCACCCCCTACCTGATCTCCCTTTTCCTATTTCGTGGCCCTGAAGACTATTTTTACTTTTCTTTAAAATCCTAACTCTACCCATCAAGTCTGGTCTTAAGCAGCACCTGTAGCTTCAGCTTTTGGCAGAGTGGCCAAGACCTACTGACAATTCAGCTGTGAAAGGGTTCAAACTGTGGCCTTTGCTTGAACAAAAAAGGGAGGGTAAGCAAACTGAAGATTAGGCTGTCCCTGCTATATGCAGCCACAACTCTGAAAAATCCATTTTTCTTTATTCTTTCTTCCCAAATGAGATTAATGTCTTATTTGGAGGCATGTGGTAGGTGAGAAAATATGATATTAACCAACTACTTCCTTGTTGCTGCAGTGGCAGGGAACTGTCTTTTCTGCTTTCACCTGTAGCATCTTACAAGATGTTCTTGGTGTTTAAGGTAAGGTTCCTTGTAGCTGTGGGTTACAGTTCAAAGTGGCAATTTTGGGTATTCCTTTGGTTAACAAATGCAGGGAACTGGACTAGATGGCCCAGGAGGCCCCTTCCCATCATATGTTCCTATGGATTGTTTTGATAGGAAAGTGATCAGAAGCAGAGAATTAAATCTATGATCATGAAATGTAGGGGAGGACCTGGAATTTGATTATGCTGCTGTTAATCACTGAATGTTTGGTGTTTGTCATCATGATGGCAATGGTGATTTCAGTAACTGAGGCCCCTTCTGCATGTTACAGGTGTTGCACAATTAACTGGTTAATTGTGCAGTTACCTGGAGACCAGCTACACATGCAAATTAGCTATCACACAGTAACAATCAGCTATAAAGTTAGACCTCAAAAATATATACTAACTTTATAGCTGGTTGCTATCAAGCTTTAATTTGCACATGTAGCAGAGTCTCCCCTGCAGCTGGGAGCCCCATCAACTGATGGGGCTCCCAGCTGCAAGGGTGTACCATGCCCAGTGTAAAAACCCTGAGCCCTGGGGATCACAGGGGCTGCCATACCTAGGGTCCAGGTGTTTCCCACACTCACATGCCCTAGGGATCACAGCTCCCACAATCCCTAGGGCTCAGGAAACCCCCAGAGTCGGAGGATTGCTATGATCCTCATGCACCCCTGGGGTGTGGAGATTGCTGCAGCATGATCCTCCAGCCCTAGGGGTGCATGGGTTACCTCCATGGCTGGGAGCCCCTCAACTGGGGTGCATGTGACTCCCAGCCACAGGAGCTTGCCAGTACAGAGAGAGCCAGGGATCGGGCTCCCCCTGCACTGGCAATAAGATGAAATGGGAACTAATGTACCATCCCACAATTGCACTTCTTGCCAGGCATGTGTGACATGGCACGAGGCATGATTGTGTGAATCACATATTAGATCCCATCACACCTTTAGCTTCATGTGTAGAGGGGTCCTGGGTGCCTCAGAAAGAGAAGCACCCCTCACTCCAAATTTTTTTAAATCAAGATTAGGATCACAGCTGGGAAAATGAATGCAAAACAGTTTTGGGAGAGGGTCAGACAGACATAAATATATTGATGTTGTGAATGAAAAGAAACAGCTTGTGAGTGGGAGGTGAACATATCCATCTTGGATAATAGATGTGTTTCTTGGACAAGGTGAGCTACCCAGAGAAGAGGAGCTATCTCCTGGATAAGTGAAACGGAGCAAGCAGGCATTCACTCACTGATGTTCTATGGAAGTAGAACTGGCAAACCCGGGACGGTCTACACTTACCAGCTTCTGCCACCAGAACTTCTAGTGAGGGATAGCCACCCCACCGGCCCTCTTGAGTAGATTTACCTCCATGCAATACTGGCAGCTCTGTATGGCTCCACTCAGTACTGTGACACCAGAGTACAGAGTGCACCAGCTGCTGAAGAGACTGCAGTAGCTGGCAGAAGGCATGGGGACTACATAGGGCTTCTGCTGGCTGCTGAGGCCCTATTCTGCTTGGCACAAGTAATGTAACTGCTAGCAGAGGGGATGATTCTGATGCCATGAAGAAATTTTGAGTATGGACACACTGTACATCTGCCAGCAAAATCTCATGCTATACAAGTATTTTTAAGATGAAAGGTGCAAGGAAAATGCAGAGCATGAATAAGGAAGCTGTGATAGTTGGGATGTTGGTGTTTGCCAGGTGGATGTGAAACAAAACAAACAAAACCCTGTCCCAGTCCAGTGGGAGATGCTAAATGCCCACTTCTCATCTTTAAAATCAAGAATGACAGTGTTAAGTAATTTGCAGAGTCAAACACAGTGCTAAAGAGGAGCCTTGGGAAAATGAGCCCTGAGTGGCCAACTTTTCAAAACAACTCAGTACAGCTCCATGTGTGTCGCAGTGGTAGCAGCTGGGGACTGAATGCTTGGAAAAGCTGGTCCTAAACGTGTCAGGACACCCAGGCTGTGTTCCCATCCTACTCCTCCAAGGGTGCATGGTGCCTGGAAGGCATGGGAAGGGATATGACAGAACAGTAGCCATTTTTTAAGTTTGCCAATATGTAAAATGCTGTGCACACTTAGTGCTGGATAAATAATAGCAGAACATGGGATTTGAGATAGTGAATATTGATAGTGCATAGGATCTGAGATAGTGAAGGTATATGCAGGACAAAGCTAGTGGTTATACACAGGGAATAGGAATAATACTCACAATATAAAATTGGCCAAATAGGATACTTATTTTAAAGATAGATAAGCAGCCACATTTACATGAAATTCACTACACTGTACATAAATGTCCATGTAATATGAATCTGTATTTGACACTGAAGACATATGCACTTTACTGATATTTTCTTATTCCTCCTGAACTGTAGGCTGGAAAAAGGCAATTAGTGAGCTGGGACTTGGACACTACCTGGGTGGATTTCGTCCAGTTTTACATTCAAATAGGTGGGGAGAGCTCTTCATGCAATAAACCAGACAGCAGAGAAGAAGGTGTGTTACTGCAGTACAGCAACAATGGAGGGATCAACTGGCACCTACTAGCAGAAATGTACTTCTCCGACTTCAGCAAACCCAGGTAAGAGACTCCCAATCTAAAGCCATGTGGTTCAGACCTTTTTAAAATCTTTTTCTCAGTTTATTAAAATGTAATACAAACTATACTGCTTAAAATCCACCATAACAAGGACCCTCTTTCAGGCTGCCGTTGTAAAATATTGGCCAGGAATAAAAAAACTAATAAAGCTGGGTCTTAAAGGAAAAAAACTGCAGTTAAATATGAACTTTTGCAGTCACTCAATCCAATCTGAAACATGACTTAATCACTGCCATGTGCAGAAATAACAGGAAAGTATGCTTGCCTGAAAGGAGTTATAAAAATGTGCTGTTTCCTTTCCTCCAATTGGTATGTATTGATATTAGATGCAAAAGAATCTGTATTTAAAAATGTTAAACACAAGTCCCTTAGACTTTGGGCCATCTTCCCTTTTATGAACACATGTTATTTTCTCCAGGGCCCCCTGCCACAGTGCACAGGAGGCATGGTACTTATTGAATGAACATTTCTTTTTACCCTCAACATTCCATATGTGCCCCAGCCTTTATTTGCCTTGCATTTTCTGCAACAAATGAAACAGATTTCACAGCAAATTTCTCAACCTTGCTTAACACCAGCCTGTGCACTAAATAAGAGATGGGTCCTTGGAAAACACAATATGTGAACAAGGAGACCAAAATAAGGTGGTATGTATAGCCTTAATTCTTGTGTTTTCTGATTTATGTCTTGACTGTGCAATCTTAATGGTCATTTAACATAGTGGGAATTTTGTAAATGACTTCCGGAGATTAAAACAAAAAGCAAATAAAAAAAAATCCATCATATAGATCCATATTGATCCACAGCTGAAACATTTAGGTCCACGGCACAGAATTTTACTACTGAGCTAATAGATTAACTGTGCATCAGAGATATCAAACATCACCTATGGGCCAAATGTAACCCACAGAGGTGGTTCATCCAGCCTGAGGGGCTTTCTCTGGCTGGACATTTGACTTCTGGATCTGTCCCATGGGGCTTCTCAGTATAGCTCCCAGAGTCACTGTTCTGGTATGGTCAGCACCCAGTGGTTAGCACCAATCTTCTCTTACTGACCACTGAATTTCCAGGTCTTGATCACTGTTTAGCATGAAAATCAGCAGTTTGACAATGAGTGGGGCAGCATTATGCCCCACATGCTGGACGTGCTGATACTGCAGCTTTGTCAGCCTTGGCGAGAAGCCCCAGATCTGGATATGGGTTGTCCAGCCCACAAGACGCCCCAAAGTCCAGATCTGCCCCCCCACTCATTTGAGCTTGATGCATATACCCTACATAATAGACCAGCCACAAAAGAAAGCTAAGACACACACCTTGCCAGTGAGTTTTGTAGGTATTTGCTGACATCAGAGGAACACGGAGGCTCAGGAATTCTGGGTTCCATTTCAGGTTCTTAAAGGAAGTATTCCCTCTTGGTTACAGACACTTCTGCCCACATATACCTCTCCACCACTTTCCCACCACCCTCTCTGTGACCCTCTTTGCTCCTCTGCCATGCCTACATTCTTCTCCTGTACCTCAGCCCATCGTGGTCAGGCTCTCCCACCTTCTGTATTTGTCAGTAGGCCTGTGCGAAGCAGCTAGTATTCACTTTGGATTCGGCCAATTCAGGGGACACTGATTCAATTTGGTGATTCCAAATTGATTTGGCCAAATCTGATTCAAAGATTTGGCTGCTGCTGAATCAACCAAATCTCCAAATCACACAGGCCCCATCCCCTGCCCACTCTCCCACCCCGTCCAGCCCCAGCTCCTGGCTCCTTGAAAAAAAAAGTCCATGCTCACCGGCTCCTGCCAGGTGGGGAGCAATCCCCACTGCCCCCCGCTGCCCTGCAGGGCTCTGCCACAAGAACCCCAACCCCCACCTGCTCTACCAGCCCCCCTATGGCTGCTCTGCCCGGCCCAGCTCCCGGCCCTTGAAAAAAACAAAAAAGCCCTGACTCACCTGTTCCTGCCAGGTGTGGGGGGCGACCCTGTGCTGTGGGGGGGGTTCTGCCATGAGCCCCCAGAAGCCCCAAGGCTGCTGCAGCAGCTGGTGAGTGGGGGCTTTTTGTTTGGTTTTTTTTAAAGGGCCAGGAGCTGAA